ATGTTCCCCGGACTCTAGGGAGCTCCTATTGACATGTAAACTCACAATCTCGCAGTCAGTTGAGTAGCGGCAGGTCTCTGCGATAATTACTGTTATAATACTAAGTGTATGCCACACACTTCCTTCCTGGAGCATATGTTGTGCTACAGTCTGCTTCTCTGATGTGCTCTGTGTAATAAAGAGCAGCAAGATATTTTGGTAAACACCTGTTATCCGACGTGCTACAGAGGTTTATAGGAAAAGAACAAGATCTGCTGAAATTGATGTGAGCCACTTGGAGAGCACATTGAAGTCTTGAATGTTAACTCTGAGACTCTTCAGCATTTAACTACTGATTTTGTCTTTACTTGAACTATATGCATATGTTTATATATTTTAAAGACCATCTCCGGGTTAAGAAAATACTTACCCTTGCAGTGTGGCTGCCCCTGCACTGCAAGGGTTAAGTGCTCGTTTTTTTGAGGGGACTTAAATAAAGCACATATATTCTGGCTGCCGCGGCAGTCCTCTCTCACCACTTCTCCCGCTCTGCTCCAGTTGTTGAAATATCCTTTGGTGTCCTCGTGTCAAGTGCAGGTCAGTGGACCTGAATAAGATGTGATTATGTCAGTGGCCCGTACACCGCTGGAGCAATGGAGAGAAGACGCTGTGGCACTGATTTAGCAGCCTGGAGGGAGCCGTTGGAACCAAGTATTAGTTGAAGTGACACTACACCAAGGAATTTAATCTTAAAAATTAATTCAAGTGCCTTAACTATAAAGGTGCCCATACACCTTACAATTATCTCCAGATTTTCTGTGGTCAGATGGAAAAGGTGCAAAAACACCTTTAATACTGTCACCTAGACAAAACAAGCGCCTAACCCTTGCAGTGCAGGGGGTGGTCCAATTCAAGGGTCAGTTTTTTGCTGGCCCAGAGATGGCCTTTAAAGTAAATGGGTCTATATAATCGGTGTTTCAGGAACACCGTGTTCAATACAGAGAAGCAACAGAATCCCTTATTCAAGTTATAAGAACATGAAAAGGCTTATTATTATTTTGCAAAGTGCTTTTCTTGAGGCAATGAGGGTGGTTGAGTCCAAGCTTCCTGTACCCCCAGTCTGCTCTAATGGCACTCTTTTTGGTTCCTTTTCATGCAAATACATTCTAGTCTGCCTCTTCTTCATTTTTCATAAAAACAGGGATACCTTTTAGGCATGCCCTCTTCCTATACCCCAGGTCTTTTTTAATTCTCTAAGTCAAACCTCTGTTTGGGTGGGGGAAACACTTTTTCATGCATTTTTGGACAGGCATAAAAATGGACATTATAAAAAAACAGAAATCACTTAGAAAAATAGCACTTTTTTGTATAATAGTGTGGCTCGGGTTGCAACCACATTCTGTAATGTCTGAGGTGCAAGTAAAGCTAGGCATACATACTGTACATAGATTTCTCTTTTTCAATCATTGGCTGAGCGAGAGAACTCTTAATAATTTTCGCTATATAGACTAAATAGTATAGATTGAGGAGTCTTCCCTGCTGGCTATATTGACAGCAAGCACACGTGCACAGTAACTGTATCCGATTGGCCAACAATTTTCGACCCAGCTCCTTCGATTTTGTAGTGGTGCAGACACGGCCGCCTACAGCTCAAAATTCCAGCCGTGTATGGCTACCTTTAGAGAATTAAAAATAATTTCTGGCAGTATTGGAAGGTATTTATTTTACAAAACAAATTTGAAACACATATAAGAAAACAGTTTAATTGTATATTTAACCGGCCAAAAGTTAGCAAATAAGAGGCATTCATTGTTAGGATTTATGTATTATTTAATATATGTTTTATGCATTTTATCAGGAAAGTAACTTGCAATTAGAAAATTATTCATTTTACTGCTAGCCCCATAACAGCTGAACGTCCATATGCAATCCTGCTCACTTGTATTACCTCTTCAGAAGAGCAGTCTTGTTGCTGCGAACACTCTGTAGTGTTCCTTTCATAGCACTGTGGTTATGAGGGAGGTCAGAGCTCACTAGTAAAGACCACAACCCGACCGCTCACTTGTTTGACTTACTGCACTTTACAAGGTTAATTAAGGAGCTGCCTGCATTCCCCCACTGCAATTATCATGTGCATTTGGTTTCCTTCATAGCTTTTAAGAGAATTAATTTGCGTACACAAATGCGATTTCTCCTTTGAGCCTTTTAAGCAATCACCTTGGGCCCTAAACTTAACTATGTTGATTTATTGATTCTGTTTATATGGATTGAGGCGGCTAACAGTGACTGTCTACCTGGTAAAGCTGAACTCCAGGCTTTCCTTCCATCTTGCACAATTGTACAGGCTCCTCTCCTGTACTGAAATTGCTTACTGCATACTGTAAGCTTCTCACAATGTGTATTACAAGCAAGCCAGATTGAGCCCACCTCATTATCTGGCTGAAGGACATCCATCATAATCTAGCCCTTTTCTTCCCAGACTTCCTGTCCTTGTTTCACCCCCTTCATTCATTGGATTTCAGTTCTTTAAATTATCGAGGCTGGCTCGGCATCACATGTGGGCATTACCACAACTTCCTGTTTTCAGAAAGCTATGTAGAGCACCCTACTGGCTCCTCCCACCTGCAATTATCTGCCTGCATTGCATAGAGTAGCACAAAGACCTAGTGATGATATCACTGGGTCTAAAATTGGCTTTGTAATGTGAACAGTTTTTATTAGCGTATTTGGGGGAAAGGGAGGAACCAAGCAATATATACACAGATTAAACTTCAGCTTTAAACAAGCGATGACAGACATGATCTTTAAGAATGATGTAGCTTGCAGATGAAGACACTTGGGTATTTTACAGGGATCAGAAGCTCTTTTAATAATAAACTGCACTTTCTGCACAGAGTGTGGAGAGCAAAGCAGACCACTGTTTTGTAGACTTACCTTCGTTCCAGCCTAAACCTTTCTTTGTAGTGAGGAAGGGTTTTTTTTTTATATGTGCCTCTGTCTACATTGGGAGTATTTACTTTGTGACAAGCAACTGAAATTTTGGGTTAAATCTCTCCATTAGGGACAGCAACAACAGTTTAAAATACTTTGATTTGTGTGACTTCTTGAAATCTCTGTGAGCTTTATAGGTGTCTGCGGCTTCCTGTTCCGGTGACCACTGTTCCCTTATATCTTAAGTATCCTCATGGATCACTTGCCCCTCCCTATTAGATTGTAAGCCCTCAGGGACAGTGCCCTTCTTACCATCTTGCCTTGTATTGTAATTGTTATGTCTTCCTTATATTGTAAAGCACTGCACAAACTGCTGGTGCTATATAAATCCCGTATAATAATAATATCTTGTCTTGGTAACCACACAGGAAATATTCTCATTCTACATTTTCCTGGACAGGTTTACATTGAATCATATTAAAGGAGAACTATGGGGTCAGTGTTTTTCCCCATAGTTCTCCTTAGGGTAACGGGAGGACACAAACTAGCGTCCTCCCGTTACCCTAAGCTCAGTATACCGCGAGCTACAGTTTCGCGGTATACTGAGACGCCGCAGCCTGAGACAACGTAGATGACGGGATCCGCCCAGCTGCGTGAGTGACAGCTGGCTCTGCCTATCTAGAGGCAGAGCCAGCTGTACCCGCCCCCTCCCCCGTCCGTTCCGCCAGTCAGCACTGGCAGATCGGAGCGGGGAGAGGGGAATCCAGCCCCTCCCCCTGTCACGGCAGAGAGCAGTGACAGGATCGAGAGGTGAGCGAACCTGCTATGTGTTCGCTCACCTCCCGATCTACTGAGCCGACCTGTGACAGTCTCATTGTCACAGGTCGGCTAGAACTATGAGGTGAGTGGAAATCACTCATCTCATAGTTCTCCTTTAAGAGAATTTTTCAAGCGATACTTTAATAAATCAAGCAGGCCATTTTACCAGAGATTCCTATTTATGGCTGGGTATTATTATTTCTGCAAGGTAAAGATTGATGGGGTATTTGTGGAATGCAGATGGACAAGTCATGCTTAGTTAGTTGAAGGCACTGGCCTAATTGGAAGTCATCTCCTATAGTTCTCAGGTGGCTGTTGATGGACTTGGCAAACCTTTTTTATTTTAGAATTCCACTTAGCAGTTTGCTATTGGGATCTGGGATCAAATCAAGATGTAGTTCCCCTCTAGGTACCCCATATAGTGTGAAACCTGTGGGCCTCATGCATCAAAGTGTGGGTACTAGATACTGTGGGCCTTATGCATTTAGCCTGTCGGTCCTAATAACTGTGATGCCCCAGCATCTCCAGTTAGATTCAAAGCACTTTGTGAAATAAGATTCTGGATCTCCAGGCGTCATTTACCACAACCATCTAAATAGATGCGTTCACATGCCTGGGGTGGCTTCAATGTAAAGTGTTCACACACAACTGATTTTCAGTTTTTGGTGATGCTAGTTAGTTGAATTACCCACTGACTTCCGGGAACGCACTGATTCAGTCTTGTCTTCTGATAAATCTTTGCATTGCGAGGGGCCTTTCAAGTCCACAAGTCTTGCAAGGATTATTACCAATCAAGTAGTATTAGCCTCCAAATGCTGCAATCTTGGTAGTAAACCTCCTGGATGGGAAGAAGAGCAGAGCCACAGACTATTACAAGAAGATTTTGTTACTGATAGGTAATTCAGCTCATCAAGCTGAGGAAAAACCCCAAAAAAGTTTTCGGTGGGCTGATAATGACCATTTATCTTCGTTTGCAATCAAATTGGCAGACATTCAGTCCAAGGTAGCCAATATATTTTGGTCAGATATGTGTATGGCATAACGTTTCTCTTAATTATATTCTTATGAGAAGACAGCTCCAGCCTGCGTTGGGCAACAGGTGTTTTAAATGTGTAATTATTAATAGGGTAACATTGTTCATTCACTAAAAAAAAAAATATATATATAATGTATTATTTATTTTGGAGAAGGTCGTTTATGCTGTATGCTTATGTTCTGTACCTGAGTAAATACAGTGGATGTTATTATATGCCATTCTTGTTTTCCTTCAGCTGGTCGGTGGCGAGTTTGATCTGGAGATGAATTTTATTATTCAAGATGCAGAGAGCATTACCTGCATGTCGGAGCTGTTGGAGCACTGTGATGTGACGTGCCAGGCCGAGATCTGGAGCATGTTTACAGCCATTCTACGGAAGAGTGTTCGAAACCTGCAGACCAGCACTGAGGTTGGCCTTATTGAGCAAGTGCTGCTAAAAATGAGCTCTGTGGATGACATGATTGCAGGTATTTAAATAAAACTGTAGCGTTGTTTTTGTCATATGACTTAACACCAAGTTCTGTTGTCTCCTTGTCAGACTTCTTTTTGGAAAGCATCCATACTTCTGAATAAATCAAACCTCACTAATGAGTCACTGCTCATTGTGAGAATAGTCTTCATTTAAAAAAACAACACAACCATTGCAGTAAGTCCTGTCTTGTCTCGAAATTATCTCCCCATCTCCCGATGCAGGAATAAACAGAATCAAAATAATTAGACACTCTTAAGATGTGATTCTCAACACAATTTATTTTGCCCACTATTGGTTTTATGTGTGGCTGACTGGAAAGTTCAGTCATGTGTGTTTTCTATTTCTTAAGAATCATGTTTTACTTGTTTAATGCTCATTCACAATCGCGTAAACCCTTCACAAGACTCTCTCCCGGTTTTTGGATGTCAGACTGGTTTCCTGATCTTCAATCCTATGGCATCTTATTATGTATCTTTCAAATCAAAGGAGACTTTGCATTGACCTGCTGTTTGTTACATGTACTTGTCTGTTGCTAGTCTCAGCATTCGGGCCTCATGAGCCTATTTTTGCTCAAGGTTCGAACATGGGCGGCAAGATTGAATACACATCTGAAGGTCAGGCAAGCAGAATTTATTTAGCTATTTTTAATCGTCCATGAAGTTGCATATATACCTTTCTTGGCCAGAATCAGTCAGATTAGCAGAAGTATCGACATAAACCTTCCTGGTTTAGTAAATTTGTTGTGCCATCTTTCATTTCTAGAAATGCGTAGAGCTGTTGTGCTCATGTTTGCTCATGTTTGCTAGTCTAGGGCTGCCAACAGGGCATGGTGTCCCCACTACCATCTAGGAACACAGCTGCATAAGGGCCTATTCACACTATTGCGCTGTGGTAGTGCAATATGCCATGTGTGTAGTGTTAATTTCACCCATTCATTCTAACGGTCAACCTAAAGCACCAATTATCACAAAAAAGTGCATGCAGCATTTTCACAGTGCAAAAACACCACACATTGGTGCAATGGCATGCACTGCAATGCAAGTGTGCTAAGAGGATTGGGGTGCTGTTCAGAATAAATGCCACTGCATTGCACAAATGACTGTAATGGACATTACCGCAGGGCAGAAGTGTGAATAAGTCCTTAAAGCAGAGAGGATAAAAAGCGAATCACCCTACAACAGATCATTTCTCTATTGATGACTTACTATGGCTTGTTTCACACTCTTTGCGGAGGATGACACAGGGCTTTGAGTCAGAGATGTCCCCATCTTAAAACTGATGGAGGGAGATGCTTGTCTGCAGGTCCTAAGTTACAGCTTCTTCTCCAGCAAGAAGAACAGTCAGCAAAAAAGGAAATTTTTTACGTGACCCCAGGCATTGATGTGCTTTGCGTTCCAGTGCGGCCGGAGGGCGTGGCTGCGGCGCCCTTAACTGCACCGCCACGCCCCCTTCCGACCCTCAACAAATTGAGCTGACCACAATGCGATCCAGTGCATTCCGGTCACAATCGGGCCAGAACGCACTGAGGATGGTGTGAAGTAGTCCTTAAGGGGCAATTCCCACCAATTGCTGTGCGTTCCAGAACGGCAGCTGCTGGAACGCACAGCAATCGCTCACTAAACTTCCCCCTTTGTTCTAATGTTTAATGTGAATGCTCTCATATTCCATACCCACCCAGCATCGGTCAGTGTGTTTCTCTCCTCCTCCACCCCTCCCCCCCTCAATCGGTGTGTCTCTCTAGAAGCCTCCCTCCACAGCGTCGGTCCGTGTGTCTCTCCCCTCCCCCTTCGCTCTTTGTCTCTGTAATCACAAACACCCCCTCCCGAGATGTCTGCTGGAATAAACTTACCTTTCCCCTCTAGCAGCTCCATGTGCTCCGCTCCTGACTTCATGCTTCTGCCGCATAAAAGAAAGCACCGCCCCCTACTCAGGAAGGTAGATACGAAGTGCGCAGGGAGGTCCGGGGGCCTTTACAAATACACTTCACGTATTAATGTATAACAAAAAAAGCTTGCAAGGTCTGCCTTAGATGGGCTACATGTATATAGCTATGAGGCTCAAGGCACAGGATGTTCAGTGTTATTTTTCATAAGAAATTCAAGACAAAAGATAGTTTTTTTTCAGGGTAATGCTTGGATACAATTACTATTTCTACATGTTGGGGGTAACATAGAAAATCTTCACTTTGATTTCAGGTTAATTTTAATTATCCTGAAAAGGTCAACAGTAAGGACTTTTTCACAGCCACCAATCAGATTCATACCTGCCATGGATTTTTGAATGTGATTAGTGATACAGCATGCAGAGAGTATTGAATTGTTGACGGCAATAGAATTCGTAGCTTGTTGACTGGTTTAATTTGTTACTTTAAATTGCTGTTTAATTATCTCACCTTTTGAGTGTTTAGAAAACTAAAAACATGCACTGTTGGCAGCTATAGAGAACTGGACTTGAGCACCACTGATCGAGAGAAGAGCTAATTGTTCTAAATGAGCAAATAGATGGAAAAATTAGGGCCATTGCATGAGGATTTTTATCCACCATTGCCATAGTTGAGTACTAGTCTAAATTAAGTTTTGTGACCTTTGATCTGGAGTGGCTGTCCTTTTGCATAATTTGTTAGATTAATAATGGTTCTTACTGGAGGCAATGAAAGCAGCTGGCTGTTCCCATGCTGATAATAGATGACCAGAGACAATTATGAAAACTTGCACATAAGAACATTATGTGGCTGTTTTTAGCCATCAGTGAAATAAAAAGTCCTCTTACAGTTAGCATGGAGTAGGTACTTGGTGGGATAATTGCAGCCTAGGGCTCTCCTACACTAAATATATGAATGTGCACATTAGGTATGATTCATATACTTGTGTTGTTGGGAGGCTCAACAGCAAACCATTATAATCTATCGATCTGTCTGCCTTTCTCTGCTTGTCCTCCTTTCTGTAATGCCCTAAATATACTTATTTACTCCACAGTGTTACAGCCCTTGAGGGCATTTGCTTGTGGCTTGCTGCAAGACTTAAGTCATAAATAATACAATCTTTGTACTGCAGACCAGATATATACTTGCTATATGGCAGTGACCATTATGTTCATCCAGTCTGCCAGGTGGAATGTAACCAGGATTTTGTGATAATAAAAACAATATCCACCTGATTGAATAGTAAATCAAAAGTTGATTACACATACCACATATTTTCAGCTGATGCACTATATGAATATGTATAATGTAAGTACCCATAATCCATTTTATATATCAAATCATGATAATATATCATTCTTAAACGTATGTGTTGTGGTGGTAGCCCTGTCACTTGCATTGGTACTGGTTGAAGGACACATGTTCACAGTACACAAATGTTTGGTAGAGTTTAGCTTTGTGTCAGCAGACAGCTGAGACAAGATATAGAAATACTAGACTCAGAAAATCAGTCATGTTTTATAGGGTAAATCCGTCATATTCCATGTGGGATTTTGATGCAACCAAGAATGGTCTTGGGAAAAATACAGTATTTAGGTAGTAAATACCTGAACAGTTTATTTTTGTTTTTTGTTTTTTTTTAATTGTCTGGCTCTTTAAAGCCCAACTCCAGCCAAAAGAGGTAGAGTGGGAAAGGCTTAAAGCCTCTTTTTGGGTTTTATTGCCACCTCCCTTTTTGAAAAATCCAACCTTCATACAAAGTCTGCCTCACACTATGTCCTATTGGCCTAGTAGTGAAATGCAGATCCATATGCAGAGAATAGCCAGCACACTAACAGGTAGATTGCATGTAAAAACTTGTTTCATTGAATGGCATAACACCAAAGTTTGTGGGCCAATTAGGACCTTACACTTTGTTACTTTGATAAGGGGTCCTGTGTGGCCTAAAAACTTAAGTGCTATGCAAGTAGAAACTTTATTTAAACAACATAGCACTTAAGTTTTTAAGCCACACAGGACCCCTTATCAGAGTAACAAAATATACCTAAATGCCAACCCGGGAACTACAGACCAGTTTGTCTGACATCCATAGTATGCAAACTGTTAGAGGAAATTATTAAGGACTACTTAGTGGAATTTGTCCGGGATCAGGGCATAATAACTGATAACCAGCACAGATTTAGGAAGGATCATTCTTGCCAGACCAACCTGCTAACCTTTTACGAAGGGGTAAGTAGAGATCTAGATGGAGGGAGGCCGGTGGACTTAGTATATCTGGACTTTTCCAAAGCCTTTGATACAGTGCCACATAAACGCTTGTTATACAAGCTAAGGGCTATGGACATAGATGAAATAGTGTGCACGTGGATAGAAAACTGGTTACAGGAACGTGTACAAAGAGTATCGATTAATGGCACCTTTTCAGACTGGGCTGAGGTCATGAGTGGCGTGTCCCAGGGTTCTGTGCTAGGCCTCATGCTCTTCAACCTGTTTATTAATGATATCGGGGAGGGAGTAAATGGCCATGTCTCAGTGTTTGCTGATGACACAAAAATTGAGAGGTTTTCAGCAAAAAAAATGGGCTGAAAATCTCGGCTTATACTCGAGTATATACGGTATGCATACACGCAATAGGTTGGACTTGATGGACTTATGTCTTTATTCAACCTCAAATACTATGTAACTATATAAGGTCATAAATGGCCCACAAACTTTGGTGTTATGCCATTCAATGAAATCCAATTTCTACATGCAATCTACTTGTTCGTGTGTTGGCTCTTCTCTGCATTCCTTTCTGGGAGATTTCCCCTTTATTCCCTGTCGGGGCATTATAAAGAAAAATTCAATTTTTAGTAGATTGAGGAAGCCTGCACCCCCCATTCTTGTGTGGGTGTCACAGGGTCTGGAAGTTAGAAAAGAAAATCCCCCCAATGAGTACATACACAGTCCTGAAAACTTGATTGTTCGGACTCTTACACACATTGAAAAAAAAAAAAGTGTTAGCTGGAGTTGGGTTTTAAGGCTAAACAAGTTCAATAGGCTGCTTTTGCAGATTAAAAATTCTGCAAAAGTTGAATATTCTGCTATCCTGTCTGACAGCTCCAGGTTGACCAGAGGGGTGGAATTCTGCTTTAATATACTGTGGGGGGCATTTATCAAAACTGGAGCTGACACAATCTGGGGCAGCTGCCCAAAATAACCAATCAGCTTCTCTCTTAAGTTTATAGAGTTAAAGGATAATTAAACCCTCAGCGGTTTTTGCAAATATCTACTGCTAGTAAGCAGTAGATATGCTAGTAAGCAGTAGATATATGCAAAAACATTAGTTACCAAAAAGATTTAAACTTACCTGTCTCTCTGCCGCACACTCCCGTCCCAAGATCTAAAAAATTTCGGGCGGCCGCAAAGAATCATGGGGTGGGCATGTGCGCAGTACAGATTTTCGGCAATGGAGGCAGCGTGCGCCCACACAGACTCTGTGGGACAGGAAGTGCCAGAAAGAGAAAGGAGTCGTCCCTGGATCGGAGACCGGCACCAGCGCTGGAGGGACTCCTGAAAACTACAGGAAAGAAGATGATCGGAGCTAGAGGCTTCATTTAAGGTAAGTCCTTACACTAGCATTGGGGGAGGGATATCTTTAAATGTCACTTTAAGCTTTCAAAGTTAAAGATAGAAGCTGAATGGTTCTATGGGCAACTGCTCCATATTATGTCTGCTCTAGTTTTAGTCTGCTTTAGTTTTAAATTCCCCTCTATGTGTATATCATTTTTTTGTTTTAAATAGCAAGCTGTCAAATTGCATTTGTTAGCAGCCAGTTGTCTTCAGAAATGTAACTGTCTCTGAACATCCTTTTGACGCTTTGATCTCCCAGTGAGGCTTAGCAAAAATGTGCTGGGTGATTTAGCTGTAAAATTTGAGACAGAACAATGGGAAAAAATCATTTTGAAATGCTGGAATCATCTGAAAGAGTCAGCAGGACTCCCCACTGGGGCTGGGAGTGGGGTTATGAGTTTGCGGGCAGAGGTTTGAGTTAATGTTGTTATTTTTATCTACTTTTAAGATCTTCTTGTTGACATGTTGGGAGTGATGGCCAGCTACAGTATCACCGTCAAGGAGCTGAAGCTTCTGTTCAGCATGCTGCGGGGAGAAAATGGAATCTGGGTAAGCTGTGGTCAGACACTGGCAATCTTTGTCTGTGCATTAGAGCTTTTGTTTACCATTATTTGTCTCTGGAGGCATTTAAAATTAAACGTTTTCCGCACACAGATGGAATGCTTCTTTAAAGATGCCTCAAATAACTGACTTTGAATTAAGTATTCAGCAATCCATTGCTGTTTACAGGCATGTGTCAGAACAAGTTTAACTTAACATTTGTTCCTTTTTCCCTTTTTGGCAGCCGAGGCATGCGGTTAAATTGTTATCGGTCCTCAATCAAATGCCACAGAGACATGGACCCGACACCTTCTTCAATTTCCCAGGACGGAGTGCTGCAGTAAGTCTCTACTGTATTGCAATATTGGGCCAGCATAACTAAGATCTTAAAGTGGACCTTTACCCCCTTTCACTAAAAATCACCTCCACATGCAGCTCTGCATGCTGATATGAAATCATCTTATATTCATTAGTTACACAAACATATTTTTCTTACAATTATTGTTTTTCTACTTCCTGATTCTCTTTGGCAAAAGTGATGTAATGTGCCCAAGCATTGCTTCCTGGGAAGGTTAAATCAGCAGAGCATTGCTGGGAAATCTCATCTGTAATCTCCTGAGATCTCCGGGAAGGGCATTTTCTTTCCCTGAGATTATGTGCATGGTCACATGTGCCAGAGTTCCAGGAAGTAAAGGGAGATGTATTAATATCTATATGGAAAGAATACAAAGCCGGCAATTATCTAGAAGTTCCTGTTTGTCAATTTGTCATTACTTAACATTTCTAAAGGTGTTTTTTTGTAATTTCAAAGATATGGGTAAAGTTCTTTTTTAAAGGACTCATCTAAAGTGCATCTACCCCCAATAACAAAAATGCAATATATTGCAATTTTCCAATCCTTGATTGTGGTGGCTGCATTAGTTTACATTTTTTCAGCTATTTTTATTTTTTTAAACATTTTTTTTGTTATTTTTTTATCTTGGCCTGCTGACCCTGCCAGTAACACATTTCCTGCCCTAGGCTGAAAATGCTCACTGTACTGCGTTTATGTAGCAGAGCTGTCACCCTAAGACTTCACAACACCTTCCTTCTCTTCTCCATAACATATGCAGGTGTTTCGTAGTTCAGTGAACTGAGAATGACTATTAACAGTGCTTGGAAATGAGGCTGTAGAGTACATCGGACAGCACTGGATTTCTAGGAAGATCTTTTTTTTGCAATTATCATACAGATATAAGAAAATGCTTTTCATGGTATATTAAGCAGACCAAAAGGGAGCAAGTTTTATCTTAAAGTAGTATTAAGGTCTGAGCGTTTTTTACCTTAATGCATTATCTGCATTAGGGTAAAAACGGCCCAGTCCCCTCCACACTTACCTGTCAGCTGCGCTCGTCCCCGCCGCTGGTCCAAAGCGATCCTTCGTTCCCCGAACTTATGGCCATAGGCTCTTTCTGCCATCAATCAAAGAGGAAAGGGGCGTGGTCTGCCACAGGGCTGTGTGTGTCTATGGACCCACACAGCCACTGCGGAAACGAGCGGGCACAGACGCGCACGGGTGCCTCCACTAGAACGATGATGGCACCCGTGCAGGGGGTGGGGGAAAAAGCGCTGCGGGGAGCCACTAGAAAACAAGGAAACAACCTCCAGCAAAAAAGGGTCTCCTTAAAGGAGCAATAAAAAAAAATAGGCTTTAATATCACTTTAAGGTTTCACTTATACTTTGCCAGGACATTTTTTAACTCAAAAAATACAACTAAAGTACAGATACAATATTCCTACCTTTTTTGAGTCAGCTTATTTTGCAGTTGTGTTGCTGACACCATTAAAATTCCCTCTTTCACACTATATCATACTTGTTGAAATCAGAGCTTACAGAGCAGAGATTTGTAAGCTCAGATTGCATTATGGGATCTCAGCATTACTTTGCCTGACAAGTTGTGACATTCTGAGGAGGACTGGACACAACCGTTACATTTGTAAGGGTTAATTTTAATAAATCTTGGTGGAGTTTGTTTAATGTATATAAAAAAGTACCCCATAATGCTATGAATGAGAAACAGTGCCCTGAACTACATCATGTTGCTTACAGCCTAGGCAAAGATGATTGTAGGTAGTGTTAGGCCTGATTCACACTGAGCGTTTTGTAGCGCTTTTTCTGCCCTAACAAAATGCTCAAAAAATATGCCGAAAAATAAATCCCATTTATTTGTATGGCCCTGTTCACATCTGAGCGTTTTCTCGCAACAAGCAAAACGTCTGTCGCTGGAAAAAGTACATGAGCTTTTTTTTGGCATATTACAGCTTGTTTTGCCCCCTTAGGCCTAATAGTAAACGCTTGAAAACGCGCGTTTGCTGTGTTTCTGCCTGCGTTTTACACGCGTTTGCACATTCATGTCAATGAGCTACAATCTGCTCACAAAAATGCGCCTTCTGATTTTATGCGCATAAAAAGCACGCAAAAATGTGCAAAAATTAGTTACTATGTCCACTAGGGATGCACCAATACTGATATTTTTTTGTTTCAGTACTCTATACCGAATACTGATGTTGGAAGTCCCATTAAGGAAGCCAAGCGGCGTGTAATGACTCGCCACCTGGCTTCCTAATTAGCCGGGAGGCCGTGCGGCGTGTAAAGACTCGCCACCTGGCTTCCTGATTAGCCGGGAGGCCGTGCGGCGTGTAAAGACTCGCCACCCGGCTTCCCGATTAGCATTGAAGCCGTCTCCATGCTCCCTCGCCACCAAGTGACGAGGAAGCATGGAGCTCGCTTTCTGGCCAATCATGAAAACGGGCGCTGTTTAATGACTCGTTGCTCGGTTTCCTGATCGGTCGAAGCTGGGCAATCAGAAAGCCGGGCAACGAGTCATTACATGACACACGGCTTTCTGGTCAATCAGAAAGCTGGGGGGTGGGTAATGACTTGCCGTCTGGCTTCCTGTTGGCCGGCTTCCTCGTGATTGGCCGGCTTCACCAAGTGACGAGGGAGCATGCAGTATCTATATGTGTGTGGAAACGCGCAAAAACAAATAGCAATACCTTTTTAATGGGGCTCATTCGCACACATTGTCCGTAATGTGCGTACAAAGCGCTTCAAAAAGTACATGCGCGATTTTCTGGGTGATTTCCACATGTTCTGACTGTGGTGGTAGCCGCAAACAGGTAAGGTAGTTCTTGCTACCTTACCACAATAGAACAGTCTCCCCTTCAGATTTCTAGTGTGCATTAGATAAATGCATATTTATTTTATAGAGAGGCCATTGATAATGCTGTTATATGTAACTCTTTTTTGTTTCCATTTCCTTAACTTTCAGGCTATTGCGCTGCCTCCTATTGCCAAGTGGCCTTATCAAAATGGTTTCACTCTGAACACGTGGTTTCGTATGGATCCATTAAATAATATAAATGTTGACAAGGATAAACCTTACCTCTATTGGTGAGTAATGCATCTGATGCTTGGTGTGTGTGTGCTCTTCATTTAGTTGGTGGACTAGTTGTACTTTCTTGACAATATAACAAGTTCATGAAGTTATGGCCATATTTTCCTTTTAAGTAGGGATGCACCGAAATTTCGGCTGCCGAAACTTCAAAATCCAATGTATCCCCGCTTCTATCCTTCCCGCTGGGCGTTGGTGTGATTGCCTTCCGATACAGCGCCGGTGTCCAGCAGGGAGGAGAGAAGCTTTCAGGATGGAGAATGGCACTGCGCGGTGACAGCTATCATCGTTGCAGGATGCCGAGCTCTCCTCCTCACCTCCTGGCTCGGCCTCCTGTGTTAGAATGGAGAGCAGTCCGAGGAGGTGACTGCTGTGATCTGTCACAGGAGGCAGAGCTCTCCTCCCCCACTTACCGCCCCCCTCCTGTGACCGCTAATTCAGGATGGAGAGCTGGTGTACAAGCACTCACCAATCAGTTGATCGGTAAGTGTTTGTAAATAATTGGACATAGTGTGCATACTATGTCCCAGTTATGAGTGAATGGGGAGTGATCTACCTCACTTCCTATTCATTCATGATTGTGGACATAGTAAGTACACTATATCCACAATGTATGAAAGAACAGGAACATTCAGTATGGAGGCTTCCTGTTCATTTATAACAGAGGCTGCAGAAAAAGAGATTGAGGACTCTGTGTCTTTAATCTTTTTCTGTTTTAAAATGGAAATATCTGGGGTCTCTTTAGACCCCTGATATTTCCCTAGAGGCCCCGACAGTAACATTAAATAAATAAAATAATAAAAAATGTCAGTTTCGGCCTGACAAATATTTTTTATTTTCTGTTTCAGTCTCAAAATTCCATTTCAGTTCATCCCTACTAGGGATGCACAGATACTTTTCGAGTACCAGTGCAGATACTTGGCATTTTCATGAGAACTACCAGGGTTGCAGCGGTTGCAGCTGTGACCTAGCTCTGGCACTCCACCACTGTCCTGAAATCATTAGTCTGTATTGTTTTAGAAAAACTGTCACATGGCAATAAACAAAAATGTATCAGTACTCGTACTTGTAAGTACTCTGCAAGTACCAGTACTCGTACTCGCAAAACTGGTATGTGTACATCCCTTTATTTATATTTATAAAAACAAAATCGTACATTAAAACAGAGATGTACAAATCCCAGGAGCTCTGTGTGCTCCTTACAAATGACAGCTGCCTCCTAATTTTTAAATTTTTATCTAGTGTAGTCTTGGAGCTCAAAAGTATCGGTACATGTACTCGTACTTGTACCGAGTACTGTACTTGGTATGTGGTATCTGTGCAACCCTAATCCCTACTTTTAAGCAAATATTTTTTTAGGTACTGGCCAGTCCTATCCTGATACTGAGAAGTGGCAATTTCTGTATGTGGCCACAGAAGTAGAACAATTGTAAATAGTATTCACATCAGTTAAAAGGCTGAGGTGTTTTGATGGCCTCCGTATTTTTGAAGGTTTTCAGCTATGAGTTGCGTCCCTAACGCAGCTGTTGCGTTTGTTTTTAGTGTTTAATGAAACCTTTGCATGCCTCTTCATATCGGTACTAGTGCAGAGAATCTGTCTCCAGTGCCAACTGTTCTGAGAGGATACGGGGATGATGTGATGTTCCTAGCACATCTCTGCTTTTCATTTAGCCCTATGATCATGTTGTCAGGAAATCAATGTTTGCAGAACAGGTGAATGACTCATTCCCTGCGCAAGTACTACCAAAACGTTCTCCTTGCGTTAAACAACTGGACATTTTTTATTTAAAACCACTAAAGTCTTGACTCTCTTCCTGCACCCTAATTCTGTGCCCAATGCTTAATCTGCAGTCTGTCATTTCAGCAAAGGCTCTGGCCTAGGAAACTATTTCTAAGCCTAACCCCAGTTGTATTTCTGCAATAACCTAATCATAACTTTCTTACCCATCCATAAACATCACTTGTTAGATTTCCTTGTTTGTAGTGACAGGCAGAGCTTGTCCAGCCAGGTTTTATTGATCACCATTTTTCACTTAAATATGTTTACAAGTAATATTAATATTATAATACAGTATAGTGATGTTAAACAGTCCTAGTCAAGACTAATAAAGTGACTCCGGTTTAAATGCTTTAGTTATTTTCCTAGGAGCTCTAAAACCTGGGTCACGGTTTGCCTTCATCTCTAAAGTCAGCAGTGTGGCCTTTCTTTTTCTTTCTCTGTTTTCCGGAACCTGGAAATAAATGAGAGAACCATACATCATGCTATTATATTTGCCACAACTTCTTTTTTAGTTTTGTATAGGCAAAGTAATGCTTAATATCTGTCAAGTGTTTATTTATTTATTGCTATCCCAGTGGGGAGATTTTTCTTCACTTCCTGTCTTAAGGCACAACAGGAAGTGAGGCAAGATTTCTTTCGAAGAAACAAGTGTCCCCACTGGAAGATTGCACCACTATTCCTGTTCCAGTGACATCTTAAATTTTTAGATTTTTCTCTTGCTTTCCTTCCCAAGTAACAATGATCACCAGGACAAATGGAGAAGGGTGCATTTTACACTGACAGCAATAAACACCTGGCATGCATTCTAACCCTTCAGCACTCTATCCAAAACTGGAACAAAGGATTGGGTTTAGCTACTTGTTTGAATATGTTAAGCCTTCTATAAAGGAGCTATCCTCAATGCAGACATTGTAATTATTATTGTAATTCAGCATGCAAATTTAGGTTTGTGTGGGAAATAATACATTTAAATGATCTCTGCTCAATGTACGTGGACGTTATGCTACAGCATAACATCAGTTGGGATTATATGTAAGGAAAGGGTTAACCTTTTTTCATTTAGGCCTTGATTTATTTAAAAAATATACAATTTCTGTTTTTAAAAGGCACCTTTCTATAAGTGGTAAATTCCAACTCCAACATAAACTATTTTTTTCTTTGTTCATTTTAGTATCACTGGAAAATTAGGTTAAGGGAATTAACTCTTAGGGACCCTTTAACTTATTTTAAGTTGTTCACATATTAAACTTTGGAAATACATAATTGGACATCTTCTGATACCAATAAAATCCTGACAGAGGGTTTTTAACTCTTTCCCACGCTATCCAAAACTGAGAAAAAGAAAGTTTTTTGCTGGCATTGGGCTCTAAAGTGTTTGTTCATTGAGTGATGTGAATCTTTTTGTAGCTAAGGTTTGCTAAATTTGTTTTAAAAGAAAAGATTGTTTTGCAGCCACTTTATTACCAGTCCTGTTACATGTCTGTGGTGAGATTTTTCTTCTGCAGTCATTAGTTGTTCCTGTTCCTGGAGATATTTAGTCTGTATCTCTTGTGACCTTTATAAGCCCATACTGAGATGATGTTTCCTTTTGAATTTACATTTATTGCACAGCTGGCATTGCATTTTTCTATTACTTTGTCACAGTCGTGAATGTAATACACCCGCTGTACTGCTAAACTGCCTGCAGCTATTAATATGGCTTCTAAATGGGTTTGTGGCATTGAAACAATTGCTCTGTCATGTCGGAAAGAAACATGTTTGTGTTTTATAAACCCTGTATGTATAGTAGAAGCAGCTATGTGCCACTGCTAACAGAGGAACTATAGTCAAAAGATGATCCCTGGTACCTTACCAATGTAGCTCCATTAGGGCCCATTCACAGCTATGTGTCGCTTTAATCACATCATATCCTGCGATCAATACTCACTATCGCACAACACATCTAGCATGCATTACAGTACGGGAAGTGTGTTGCATTGTCATTCATTTGAATAGCACTCCTAAGCATTTCCTGACTACAGTGTGCTGGATGGGCTAGGGATGCACCAATACTGATACCAAGTATTTGGGCGAGTATGAGTACTCGCCCAAATGCTCCAATTCCTTCCCTGATACCGGATCTTTGGTCAGATGAAGATTTCCTCTATCCAGCGGTTCCGTAGGAGAACATGCAGCCGGCTTCCCGGGCAATCGGGAAGCCTACTACAGGTTTTTTTGTTTATTGAAAATAGAGTTAGGTTGTAAAAGGTAACCGAATGTATGAAATACCTGTGCTGACGAAACCATGATTTGTTTATTGCACAATCATGTGATCACAATTCTAATAATTGCTAGTCTCAGCAAATCTGTGTTCTGTGGAGCTCACAAGACCTAAAGCTGCCCATACACCTTACAATTATCTGCAGATTTTCTGTGGTCAGATGGAAAAGATGCAACAGATTCCTCCATCTACACTTAACTGTGTGGCTGGAGTAATCTCCACCTGGGCCAATCTGTTGCACTTTTTCCATCTGACCACAGAAAATCTGCAGATAATTGTAAGGTGTATGGGCACCTTAACACTGAGCCATTTTCACAAGTCTCTTCACCATGGGATGCCAACACAATGGTTTTAATAACGTGTAAAGCCAATAAACACCTTGAGGAAAGCTGTTTTCACCATTCTGAATGTAATGTTTTTAATAAGCAGGTATTGCCAATTAGCAGCCAGTTACTATCCAGTTGTCATTTTCCTTAAACCTGAATGGGTGTTGTGTGCAGTACCATCCCTTTGTTTTGTGTCTATTTTAAATACAAGTCCTAATGGATTTTGTTGGTTGAATTAGATCAGGCTGCAGCTGAGCACATGAAAATTTGTTAATTTAATTCACTGCAATTCCTGACCTGACTCTTCTCTTTTCAGCTTTCGCACAAGTAAAGGTGTTGGTTATTCTGCACATTTTGTGGGTAACTGTTTGATAGTCACTTCTCTGAAATCAAAAGGAAAAGGTTTCCAGCACTGTGTCAAGTACGACTTCCAACCACGCAAGGTAAGCACAGAAATAGGTGCTAGTGTGTCATAAAATACTACTGTATGGCGGAATGGAGTTTGAGGAGAATGCAGTAATATCCAGAAGGAAAAATGGAAAAAAAGAGTGTGCCTTACAGGAAAACTGAGATGTTAATCAAAGTCAGTAAGCAATGCCCTCTTACAAAGTCAGTAAGCAATATTTCCCTAATATTGTGCATCTCCAGTTGTTGTTTTTTTTTTTTTTTTTAACAAAAGATAGCTATCAAGAAACAATACAGAAGAGTGAAGCAGTCATCAATAAAAACACAGGTTTTTAACTAGATATTGGTAGTAACCAAAGTGACACACAATTTTATATCAGTTTTAGGGTTTAAAAAGGGAAGAACATAAACGGTACTATTAGGGGATAGGGGAAATAGAGCATGAAGATGCAGGGGTGTGGACATTTTTCAAAAAACTACTTGCCCAGGGACTAAAGCAAGGGCCCAATCTACTTTTGTCCCGATAGAAAAAATTGTTTTAATCGAAAACGTATTTAACTGTGCTAAGAAGTGCTTACAACGAGTGCTTGCAATTTGCGAGCGAAATTCAAAATGCATAGCGCAGGGCTGCGCTACACAGCAGTAGGGGGTTCAGATTGTACACCCATACCTGCGGAGGGAAAGGACTGTTCGTAGGAAGGTAAGTATAGGGTTGGGGAAACGGGGCCAGATTTGATCGTGTAATTCCATTTTCCCAAATTACCTGGGAAAGTGAACTTACTTTTTAACCTCCCTGGCAGTCTGATTATTCCTTTTTTGTTTCTATTTTATACTTTCAAATCTCCCGCCGGTTCCGCCCCCTGCGACGCTGAAGGGGGCATGGGGGTGCATTGAAGTCAGTGGCACCGCAGCCCCCCGCCCGCAGTGCGATCGGCCACATGCTTGCAAGTTAGTGCTTGCATCCCGGTCCAGTGCGATCTGCAATGCTAAACGCAGGGAGCCGACCGGAGTGCGATACAGTGCGTTCCAGAGGCTGACCGATCTGGAATGCAGTGTTTGTTGAGTTCTGCTGCTTGGCTACCATAATATGGGACATAGTAGACTGGCGGCAGCACTCAACGCACACACACAGTGTCCTAGGCGTGCGTATAATTGCATGCAGATGGCAGGGGCAGGAAGGTTGGTTTTAATTTTTTGTTTTGTTTTTTACCTTATTTAATTTTTTTACATTTTTATATATTTTATTATTTTTTACTTTTTTGAATTTGTATTTATTATTTTTAACTTTTTCTTTTTTCACCTAATTTTATTCCCATCACACAGGGGCTTATAAGCCCCTGTGTGATAGTTTGGAGGTGACAGGTTCTCTTCATGGAACCTGCCTTCTAACACAGAACAAATCTTCTGTGCAGTTCTGGACAGCTGAGACAGGTGGCGCTGTGATGACAGCACCACAGTCTCACTGATCACACAGAGCAGAGCGAAGAACGTACATTCTCCGCTCTGCTGCCCACTCTCCATCCTGAGCTTATTTGCCTTGGTCCTGGGTCCCCCAGAAGAGCGGGGGACCCTGACAACCATGGCAGGGAGGGAGGGGACAGACTAGCTGGTACAAGTTTTCTGATCAGATCACTTGTACAAAACATGCAGCAACTCCCCGCTGTACATTTAGCACTGCTTGCCTGAAGCACAAAAAAAAACCTGCCTGGGAACTGCATGTCCTGGGCGTCAGGCGATACGAATTCCACACCCCTGAGATGAAGATACATGTAGTAATATTAGGGAATCAGATAGCCAAAGAGGAGCGGGGGGTTGAGGGTAAAGACAAAATAAAAAAGGGGTTGGGGGGAGAGGGGGAATGAGAACAAAATAGGGATGGCTGAGGAGAAACAGAGCAGGGTAAAGAAAAATAAAGGAAAAAAGCATAGTTCAGCAAAAAGAGAAGGGGAATCCCAGACAGAACCATACTGGATCCCAGCCGCTTGGGGGGGGGGCAGGAAGGAGCGCGGATGGGGCAAAGGTCCCAGCCTCCACAGTGCACATCCCGGGGGCCCATCCATATCACTTTAACCATCCCACTCGGATCGGAAATGTTAGCGGAAAGCATCTCCCAGGAGTATGTGTCAGAGTACCTGTAATACAGCCAGCCAGGGGCTCCAGGTGGCGTAAAATTGTGCTTCTGTATTGTAGAACATGGAGGTTAGCGCCTTCATCTGATATACCTCGTTTACCTTTGAGAACAGCACAACTGCAAAGTGGGTGCATGCAACTGTCACCAAAGCAGTTCAGTTGTTTTTTGAACAATGTTACGATTTTTTTCCCAGATTTTAAAAGGGGAGTGTATAGTTTTATCAAGATATGTGCAGTATATGCATTATAATATAGATATGCACAGAATATGGGTGTAGGTGGATCAGGGGCTCCGCATGATGGTATTTTTAATGGAGAAGATAATGTATATTATATGTAAAGTATGTATGAGAATAAGCAGAGCTTCCATCCTTTGATAATATCTCCCTAGATCACAGCTAGAAGTTTACATTAGCTGAACACCTATAACATGGCAGCATTGAGCAAGCCTGATGTAATCAAATGTTTTTGATAATGCAATCAAAGCTTACTTGAAAAAAAATCCCTTTTATATTGTAAGTGATGCCTTCCGTCTGCCCATCACTTTCAACAACTTCCTGGATTCCCGGTGTGCTTTGCATCTCTGTCCCTTCTGCTTGATACTACATATCCCATCATGTATTTCTTCCAGTCAGCAATGATAATGTTACAAGGTACTCTTAAAACCTAGACGACACAGGGACTCGTATACAGACATGCATGCACTACACACATTTACACAGAAAGGTTGAACTCGATGGACCTGTGTCTTTATTCAACCTCCAATACTATGTAACTGTGTATAATTGCGGGAAAATCAGACAATGAGTTGTAGTTCAGATGGAAGGCTTAGCTAGAGTGTATATTTACAGGGCTGAGTTAAATTGTGTCAGTACATTGAGGAAGTCCATCCTATGGGCATCTTCAATAAGTAAGTTTACAAACTTCTAAATAGATATTGTTATTAGGAGTGGGATAGAACTAACGGAAATGAAGTATAGAAATACATACGTATTTATGTTTAGTTTTTGACCATAGATACCCTTAAGGACACGTACAGTGTTGCATCTAGTGTGCTGTATTACCTGCACACCCTGCGCTCCCCTCCATTGTGCAGTGTCATGAGAGATAATTGTGTATATATAAAGAATAATAATAATATATATATTTGGATGGTATGCACGACTCCATGCATAGTTATAACTGGTACATGCTGATTGTTCCTGTTACCAGTAATGGTCTTGCTTATCTCTATTCTCTTCTTTCTTACTTGTGAAGCCCCATACTCCTGCGTGCATAAGGGCTATCATGGAAGTTTTTGTTGTGGGGAGAACCCAAAGGACATTTTTATTCAATGCAGCGAAGAAACCCTTCCCTATAACTTTCTTTTTTTAAAATTATATATATTTGAATTCTTTAGCAGTCCTAACATCAAATATGTTTTTACCATGTTAATTGCAAGTAATCAGTAGGTAAAATACTTAAGGATATGTATTACCTCTCAAAGATATTCCCTCTGCATTTATGATCCTTTCTCCCTAGGATACCGGCACTATTTTTGTTCATGCATCATCCAAGCGAAACATTTATTCATATTTCTAGAACTGAGATGTGTAACTCAATTATGTAAATTCCAGTATTCTCAGGCTGTTAGTAGCCAGTATAAAAAAATTATCTGCAATGTCACTTCTCCTACCCTGTGACCTGCCAATTATAGAATCCATCAGAGGCTCACACTTATTATGTCTCCTGCTGTCTCTTACCTTGTGACCTGCCAGAACATGGCAATAAACAGGGTGATTGTTGGAGGAAGGAAGACTCATTTAATGCTTCCTGTGCGTGGCTTACACTGATGATATTAACAACAGGAGGTGATAGTAAGTCTCCAAAACGAGGAGAGATAACCAGGACAAACTGATGATTTGTTTGTGTTTTTATTTGTGCGTTTTGGGTGTTTTTTTTATGTGTTAAGGCTTCAGCTTTTTTGTTGTAGCCAATGGAAAGCTAGGTACTGGGACACAGATGGCTGTTTAACTTTGAAAAACGCTAATTTTCAGGTGCTATGGGGCTAAATACACCCCATTCTGCCTCAAAAGTAGTTAATGTACTTTTTTGAGCTTCAGGCGTCGAGCTACAGAATCTTGAGCATTCATATGTGAACAGACACAATTTAAAAGCATGGAATTTTGGTTGTTGAGCATTTTGGAACTTTGAGCTCCAAGCTACGAAATGCTCACATGTGAAGCAGGACTAAAACTACAAAAAATATATTTTGATTTTAAACGCATATTAAGTACTGATATACAGTATATACACTTGCTGTATATTGTGAGACATCAGGAATTTATCCATACAGGTTACTGATAGGTCCGCTTTAGAATGGACCTCCCTGTGCATCTTTCCACATCTTATTCCCTTGATGGGACTAAATACTATCTAAAGCTTGTCTGTTTTCTTCCTGGAATTAATTTAAGGACGTTCTTGCACACCACATGCATATTAGCATTAATGTAACTTTGGTCTGCCTATAATTTCACCCTGAACTCATTAGTCTAGACTAATACTAATGGAAATATTTAATAACATCAGTCTGGATCATATCATATGATTGTGATATATGTCTCAGTGGAGCTTCAAAGCCATGGTACAAACTGAATTGCTTACCACTGGATCTGAGACTTGGGTTTTCTCAAGTTGATTTTCTGTTTCCTTTAAAGATTGGTTGAAATGAATATTTGAACCTTAGAACATTTTCCCTTTGGGAATTTAAACGGTAATTGACACTGTAGTAATTTACTTGTAAGTTTTAAATTCTCTATGAAGCCATCTGCAACCTTTAAAACTGATGGGCTTAAAAGACTGGAGGAAGGACGGTTGACATTTTAAATCAAGGCTAAATAAGCATATGAGTTCAATTTACGGAAAGGGATGAATCAGTCTGAACCTGTTTGGTCCTGTTCTACCATACATATAATATTAATTCAAATGGGTCTTTTTTTTTAAATGTTATCCTTTCTTTTATTGTATGCATTTAGTTAAGCTTCAAATCCCTTTGCCTGCTGTACATTTACAGTGGCGGGTACCTACCCCAAGACTCATATGTATGGCTGATCCTGACTTCAGGATGCTTTTGTAGGCCCACCTAGATGGCGGTACCCAACAAGTGTGAGCCTTTGCTGTTGATTATGAGCACTGTTAAAGAGTGCCGTCTTTCTTTATAAAGCTGTCTTCCTCTGCTTTTTATATGAGGCTGAGCAGAGAACATTTTTTATTTGAATATTGCTAATGATGGGGTGCTGTTAACCTTTTATGCATAAACCCTTTCATTTCCGTACAATGACCTACTTCACAGGTGCATCCTTCATTGAAAAAAAACAAAACAGTTTTTTTTACTATGTACCTTTTTGATTTTGTTATATAATATTGCAGCATTGAGGGTGTGTATATGTGTGTATGTATATCCTGCTGCTGTGAAACGTTGCAAGTCTATTTCTGACCTTATGCACACTATGGTATGTAAGGTATGCTGGATTTTGTAGTTTTACAGTAGCTGTAGGTTTACAGGTTGCCTGTTTGTATAGAAAATTATTTTTAATACTGCAGGCATCTGATTTATTCTGCCTTATGTCATATATTTCAGCTTCAGGGTAAGGTGTGCTTTAAGTCTGAATTACGGGAAATCCGGGAAATGTATGCAAATACTGTAATCCTTTCTCCTGTAAAGGTGATGTGCCCATTATTAGACTGCCATGTTTTATGCTAATACCCAGAACCTGTTTTTATCTAGTGGTACATGATCAGCATTGTACACATCTACAACCGCTGGAGGAACAGTGAAATCCGCTGCTATGTAAATGGACAGTTAGTATCTTATGGAGACATGGCGTGGCACGTCAACACAAACGATGTAAGTATTCATTGCAAGATTGTAGATGCATTGATGCTAAACTTTGTGTGTGGCATGTAATGCTTATCTATATTTTTACAGATGTAATAAGACATGAACACTGACCTTGCATACACATGGAAATAAATCTTTTATTTCTTTTATTGTTTTTTGTTTTCCTTTTGGAATATGCTTTTGTAATTTGAGAAATGTTTTATTTCTTTTAATCAAGTGTGAAATATTGTATATTAACAGTTTATAATTACTACTTGCAGGTAGAGCTTTGTGAACCTCCAGTCCTAGATTCTCTTATCCAAACATGTATTAAAAACGGAGTGATTAAATATGTCCGTGATTAGTAAAATAAAAAACAAATGTGTTATTCATAATTTTAAAAATGCATCATATCATATACTTATTAAAGTGAAAAAATATATATAACATTTGACCAAAAACCAGTACATACATCATAATGCAATGCCCATTTATATTGTA